ATAGTGTCTTAGTCCATCAAGCTAAGCCTTGACAATTTTAGCTTAAAATTTTCTTCAAAGTACATTTTACGAATCTCCTAGGGCCTCAGGAAAACCCTAACACTGCACCCACAGACACCTAATGTTGAGCAAGTATCACCTCCTCCTGAGTCCCTGAAATGGCTTAGCAGTAATATGTAGCCCTGCGTGCCTGAATGAATTTGATCCACATGTTGTTGAATAAAAGCCAACTCCACGTTGGAGGACATCTGCCAAAAATGACAACTGGGGCATTGGAGCCATTCACCCTGAGCCATTTTTTTCTGATACTAATGAGGCCATTCCTGGTCAGTGACAATAAAACCATGTTATCTGCATAGAAAAGACTTAACTTCCTTTCCTCTTAACAAAGGGCAATTCATCCAACTCATCCAAAAATTCTTTCAAGTGGTAAAATACCTGTTAAAGGGAGCAGGGACCAAAGCATATGGTTCTTGTGCTCTGCTTGAAATCACTGTCGGCTTCACCAGGACATACTTTCCTCCTACTTGGGTCCTCAGGCTGTGCTGAGGGGCAGGTTCTGTCTAAGTGCCTGGGGCAGGTGGGAATTAGTACTGAGCACCTGTAGCTTGGCCCTTAATTGGTTTCTCTCCATATAATTAGTTTCCAGCCGAGTTAAAGGCCAAAATTAGCCTTGCTGTTGCTATTCTTAGATTGTTCCTGACAAGTTTTTGCACAAGTGGCATAAAAAGGTCAACAGTAATTTTCCGGCCGGGTGTGGCTCAGTGGTCCATCATCGACCCAGGATCCAGGAGATCACAGTTCGATTCCCGGTCAGGGCACATGCCTGGGTTGCGGGCTCGATCTCCAGTATAGGGCGTGCAGGAGGCAGCTGACCAATGACTCTCTCATCATTGATGTTTCTCTCTCTCTCCCTCTCCCTTCCTCTCTCTGAAATCAATAAACTTTTTTAAAAAAAAGCTCAACAGTATAAAATAAATATGCAAATACCCAAGGGCTTCTTTATACAAAATATCAGCCTTGCAATTTATAAAGGAAGAAAATTGACAGATGGTTTCATTGGAATATCAAGTAAAACAATGGGTCCATACTTTGGGGGGAAATAGAGAATGAGCCTTTAGAAAGTGGGATGATCTACCTTTTGGGTCCATCCAAACAAAACCAAAAGCAAAGAACTAACTAGAAAGTTTTTAAATTATTTGCATGCACACCATGGAAGTCATTTCCAAGATGACTCCCAATGATCTCCCACTATCCTGGTCTTCACACCCTTGTGTGGTCCCCTCCCATGTTGTGTCAGGTTGGTCTGTGTGACCAATGCAATATGTCAGAAGTAATGGTATCTCACTACAAGGCTAAGTTACAAAAGACACTGTAGCTTCTGCCTTGGTCTCTTTCTTAATATTTCTCCCTCTCTCATCACTATTCTAGGGGGATTTATCTTCTATGTTGTGAGCAGCCCTACGGAGAGGCCTACAATCGTGAGGACTAAGGCATCCGTGTAGGTGAACCTATTGGAAGCAGGTCCTCTGGCCACAATCCAACCTTCAGATAATCGAAATCCAACCGACATCTTGACCTCAACTTCATGAGAGACCCTAAGTCAGTACCACCCAGCTAAGTCACTCCCAGATTCCTGATCCTCAGAAGCCACGTGGCATAATTTTATTTTGCTTTCTGTAGCAAACCAAGAACTACAATGACAAAATCCACATTTGCGTAAATCAAAATGAGCCAACAAAGCCAGTTTTAACTGGCCAACAACGCCCTTGATCATGAGTAAGGAAGTAAGCCCAAGGCATCTCATGGAATTTGAAGAGATCTCAAAAAGGCAATCTACACCAATTTGAAAGTTTCATTCCTCTCTTTGCAATACCCCCATTCTTAGAGGTACAACCATGGCTCTAATAGCCTTGGACATGGCCATACGGTCAAGGTAGGAGGGATATATCACTTTGTCCCTACCTGAAAAATCATCTTCTTGACCATAGTAATAAAGGACATGCTAACTGTAATACAATTAACAGCACTGTGTCCTTTAAACCACTTACCATAATTTGTAATTATTTTATCTACTTGTCTGCTTGTTTATTATGTCTCTTGTCTGATCTATAACCCCATCAGGACAGGAGCCATGTTGGTCTTACTCAATACTTAGCCTAGTGTCTGACACGTAGTACGCACCAGATGAATGTTTGCTGAATGAGGAATAGAATTTCCCCAGATCCTTGCCACGCACCGACACCTAAAACTACTAGGCTATAAATCCATTGGTGAGGAATTGTCCTCTCGGCTTGACACAGCTGTCCATGAGGAGGTATGATCTACATATTATATGTTATACTGTGTACATGAAACAGTTCTTCCACTGTTTCCAGATCAGTTCGAACAGGACCCTGCAAGCCCTACACCAACCAGATATTCTGGCCTTTGGAGGCTATTTTGACTGACTTTAAATAGGCGATATAAACAGAGGATTTTAACCATCACACGAACCCAGGGTCCAAGAGGACTGAGATGTGAACCGACTTTAAGCTGGGTCCAGCCTCTGGTTAGCAAATCCCAAAAAGAAAGGGTGGTGTGTTCTGTCGGGCGGGCCAGGAACTGCCACTCTCCACCGAGGGTGCCTCCAGCCTGCCCAGCCTGCCTGGAAGCTCCAGTTCTCAGTCCCCTCAGGGGGCGTAAGGCCTGGGCAGCCCACGGGAAGGCGGGGAGCGCTCTGCACGAGCTGGAGAGGAAAAGAGCTGAGCGTGAGCTCATGACAAGTAGGACAAGGGCGGGGTCCCCTGAGAACTCCTGATCGCCTCCCCAGGCCATCCCACGCCAAGCCATCTGCACGTCACTGGCCCTCAGCCCTCAGCCCCTATAACCCATCCCACAGAACGAGGACCCTCGTCTGCGTAGGAAGCCAGCAGCACAGAACCCCAAATGCAGAGAGGCCTGGACCCAAATTGCTCTGGAGGGCAGTAAAAAAGTGGGAGCCCCACGGGCCTCAAATCTCTCAACCGCCCACCTACACAGGTGATTCTTTGGGGGTTTCTTCTTAAAACTCAGAAATTTAGAACAACTCAAAGAGGCAGTGTGGGTGGTGGAAGGGGTTAATGTTGGGTGATAAAAACTCATGTCCAAGAGGTGACTCTGCCTCTTTCTAGCAACTAATAGAGACCTTGAGTGAGTCACTTCCCACACCAGGCTCCAATCCCTTCACTGTACAACAGGGCTAACAACCCCACTTCCTGCGGAGGCCACCAGGGCAAAGGCGGTAACTTCGGAGAGGGCTTTGGAAGTGGTCCAGCAGGGAGCACTGCAGGGCACGGTCAGAGATAACCAAGGAGGGGAGGCTCCGGAGGAGGGTGTTTCCTCCCCCGCCTCCT